CGATGCCGTGGACACCCCGATAGGGTGACTTTGACATAATCAAAGATCAAGTACTTAACAACAAGACAACTGTGATGCCTCAGGTCAAAGGACTACTTTGCATTATCCCAACCATGAGTTCTCATGTGATATGAATATGAGAACTCTTCGTTGATCGTGTTCAGTGGACTCATTCTCTATTGAGCACCTACGTACTTGTCTTGATGTCACACACACCAATGACTCGAGACTAGTCACTCTCCCTGAGAGAAAACACAGCACGTACCGATCTTAACGGACTGTCAATGCCCAATTGGCAATCCTATGATCAGGAACATTTAGGATGTGTCTACGAAAGAATGGTCTCATGAATCTAACTTCATTAGATCGCATTCTTCCAATCACATATTCCTTGGACTTTATTGTTTAAGCATATAACATTTATATGAGACGGCTCAAACAATAATTTTTGCCCTTTATAGTTAAACTAGATTAGTTTAACATGTGAAATGTCCGTAAAGTATCATCATATGATTGGCTTTAAGGCACATTTCCAACAGTAATAAGTTATTCTCCTCGTTCCAACACAATTTTAAGCTAATGGTGTTATCCCACATGGTTTGTATAGACAATTATGGTGGAACTAGCTTGGTGATATGGACAATTCCGTCTCCAGTTTAGCTTTGATTGTGTGGTTAATTGGAAGTGAAGACATCCAGTCATACTGTGAATATTTACCTAAAACCATATAACCAATCATTCATGTTATTCCAGTTGAACTTTGTCTAATTTGTTGAAGCTTTTATACTGGTCAGTTGTGAGAGAAACCTTGCTAATCAAAGTCAGAAACATGTCCAGTCGACATGTTGTCCAAAAGAACAGTACTTGGTTTCAGAACACAATGACCTATCGGTGTTTCGGAGTGATTATGAAGATAATCGACTAATCGAGAGCACAAGCAACATCTATGGAAATGCTGAGCCTTTGCAAAAGATTTAAACTCTTGGGTGCCTCTCTTGCTTCTTCAATATCAGTCGGTGGATGCAGCCACTTCTCTAAGCTTCCTTTTTCCATGTACTCATAAACCAAAGCCTTGAAATCATTACCAAGAGAATCAACACTTGAACATGCAGTTATAATCTTGACGAGATTTCGATGCTTGATATTTCTCAAAGCCTCACATTCATATAAAGAACAATATGTCAGTACAAAACCAATTTATAGTACTAGCAAAGTACATTGTAGAAGCAATTTCCTGATTCAGAATTTCGTGAGTCATTTTTGAAGGCATTAGATTAAACGACATGTCAAATTAGAACGACTGAATGAAACCATGATCGTATTAATAAGCAAGCACTTCTATCTATCAAATATTAAGGCGGAAGTTAATTTACCAAACAATAAGTATTTTGTGATTTGCAATTCCATTTTGATGTAGAGACACTGCTCAAATAATGACACCAGGAACAATGATTGTTTAGATTGACCTCTTGAAAAAGAGTAACTAGGCCAAGAGTATACCTGTCAAAAACATGATGACTGTTCGAAAATGCCTGCATATTCTGATACCACGTAGATATGAGGAAAATGAACTTTTATTTCCAATAACAAAACAACAATCTGCCAACACATACAACCTAAAACAACAAAGTAGAAGCTATCAACGAAGTGACCAATTAGTACTACAAAGAGAACAGCGATAACAATAACCCAATGCCTTCTCCAAACCATTCTGATCAGAAACAAGCAGATACAGAGACTATTTGCAATGACAATAATGAAGAAATATTACAGGACACATGATATCTACATATCTACACAAAATCCAGTTCTCTGATTTGATAAAAAAAGGTCGTACCCAGTGCACAAGGCTCCCGCTTTACGCAGGGTCTGGGAGAGGTGAATGTCGGCTAGCCTTACCCCCATTTATGGAGAGGCTACTCCCAAGTCTCGAACCCGAGACCTACCGCTCATGGGCGAAGGCACTTGCCATCGCACCAAGTGCGACCTCTAGTTCTCTGATTTGATAAAAAAAAAAAATGTGCACGCGCCAACTGTGGCTACCAGATTCTCATGCAGGGAATCGATTAGGTTCCTGAAGTCAAAAAATTAAATCAGAGATCGAGGAGGAGCTTACCTAACAATCAATAGTATCAAAAAGGGGACCCACAATACATATCGATACGCATTGTGTTTAGATTTAACTGGAGTACTAACACGTCTAGGGGGAGCATTCCGTTGTGTAAGCCATTTAAACTGGAGGCGGATCAAAAACAAAAATCCACGAAGAAATCCGGAGACAAATCCTCCAATATGAGCAAAGTTGTCCACATGTGGTAGAATTCCACTGCTAAGTTTATTATGATGATGAAAAGGAGAGTAAGCAATGCTGCTAACAGCGGATAGAAATCTGAAACTGTAAGATCAAAGGGTCGTGCACATACTATAAAGAGGTGCATCATTGAGTATACAAAAACTTTATTTACCTTATTTACATACATTGTCCAATTTGATATGAGCTCTGAAAGCATGCTTCCTAGTAAACCAAAAAGTGCACCAGAAGCACCAACATAAATACCATATTGAATAAAAAGAGCTGAAAGCAAACTCCCACCAAAACCAGACGTGAGATATAGGAAACCAATTCAAACTGCAGAAGAACAAATCAGAAAACATTAGAATTTCAAACCAATTAGTTAAAACAGTTCATCAAAACAACTGTACATGATGTAGATCAGCATCAAACTATTATTTTTTCAATCTTTTCAAATAGACGGCATCTCAAAACATTTCAAAATGAGGCGCCATGTCTACATGTACAAGTAGACCTGGCATTTCAGACCTGACCCGTTAACCTGATCCGATCCGATCCGTTAAAATGAGTATTCGGATGAGTGTTTAATGGGTCGGATGGTTAACGGGTCAACCCGTTAAGCATCCGTTAAATAACGGGTCATTTTGGATGAACCTGCAAAACTCATTAATCATCCGTTAACACCCATTATTAAGGGCTTTTGTGTAATTTCAATATTCAATAATTAAACCCTCACTCTGTCTTGCATGTTCTGGCTCTCGTTCTCTCTCGTCTCCCTCATCTTCTTCCTCAGAAATTACCACTCTCTCCAGTCTCCTGCTGCAGTATCTTCAGCTACCTGTAATCTCAACCACACCAAAAACTTCATCTCCTCCAAAGTCCAAACCCCACTTCAATTCCATCTCTGGCTCTCCCCGCACCTTCCCCGCCAAATCTCGATCATCAACAATCGTTTCCATGGCACTCCAAAAGAAGGTAATTACCTTCACTCTTACTCTGTAACTTCTGTTTGGCTGCCAAGAAATTATCTTTATATAAAATTACGAATACCGTTTTGTTTTTTGGTTAATTTACAAATACCCTTTTGTTTGTTTGCTGAGAAAATGTGAATTTCGTAAATTTCCAGGTGAACAAGCTCGACAACAGCTGGGAGAAAAAGTGGTACGGAGCGGGAATCTTCTACGAAGTGGCGGAGGAAGTGGAAATCGATGTCTTCAAGAAGCTAGAGAAGCGGAAGGTGCTCAGCAATGTCGAGAAGGCTGGGCTTTTGTCCAAGCAGAGGAGCTCGGGGTCACCCTATCGTCGATTGAAAATAAAAAATAAAAATGTTAACGGATGAAACGGTTGAAACAGGTGACTGTTAACTTAATGGGTTGGGTTCAGATGACCTGTTAGTTTAACGAGTTAGGTTCGAGTGACTCAGTAAACCCGACCCGTTTACAGGTCTATGTACAAGATATCCAAAACAATCGTTGTTCCCACATATGTGATGGAAAACTGAAATAATCTCTCAGCTTCTGTTTCAAGCAATTTTATTCTGTAAAATTACCAAACACAAAAAATACTGTTCATTAACAGTGTGATGCCGATTTATCCTTACTTGATTTGTTTAAATTCGTTTGGACCCTTTTTACACGTGTTGTCATCCGTGCTTCGTTTTTCTTTTCCTCTATTCTGGACTCTTCAGCTCCATCTTTTCCACGTGTTTATCAACGATGGTGCTTCTAGTCTATTGATTACCCTCTTGGGTGTTTTTCTCCTCTTTCACACTGCCGTTGTTCATGCTGCCAGGGCCGGTCTAGAGATTTTTGAGGCCCGGGGCGACGTAAAAAAAAGTGCCCTAACTTTATGTAAGAAAATTATTTATTTTCACACATAAGATATCGAAAAAAATTATACTTAGAAAAACACTTCAAACTCAATAATTTAGAAATACAGAAAGACTAATTTATTTTGTATTGAAAGAGGGAAACAAAAAAACTTCGGGCTTACAAGTAGATAGATGATGAGTTTTGTTTTCCATTTGAACTTTGAATGTGTTTTTGAATAAATCGTGAGGTGTTTTTTTCTTATTTACTAACCTGGTCAATATGGGACTAAAAAATAATGATGTTTTCGAGTCTTTAATTGATATGTATTATTAATGAATGGGCACTAAATTAAACATTTTGATGACACGTCATATAATTTGCAAATTTGGTCTACGTATTATTCTTTGTTGAAGATTAGACTTGAATTAAAACGAATATTTAAAAATAACAACCCACATAGCTACTAGATAGTAACTAAAAATAAATTACCAACCAAACAAAAATTTGTAAAAATTGAAAAGAATAAACATGCACATAGCATTTCGAACTAAGGACCTCTTGTTAATTTTAAACAATAAAAATCATTGTTTCTAATTAAACTTCTTGATCCTTTAACCAAATTTTCTAAATTTATACTCTTATAAAAAGAAATTTGTAAAAAAAAGGAAAGTAAATAAGCACACATGGTGTTTTGAACCCAAGACCTCCTTATTATTTTTAAATGACAAACCACCACTTCTAGTTAAATTTCTATGTTTTTGAATCAAATTTTATAAATCTATACTCTTATAAAAATATATATAAATATACCGTCCTAATAATTTTGGTGCCCCTAATTTTTTTGGGCCCTGGACGGTCGCCCCTCCTGCACTGGGCCTGGGCCGGCCCTGCATGCTGCCCGTCGTTGTCTGGTTTTTCTCGCCGATTAACTACGGCGGTTTTCTTGCTTCACATCGCTCTTACCCATGGTCGTTTTCTTCCTGAAAAATTTTCCATCTTCTGGTTTTCCTTCTATTTATGGACTCTGTGATTTTTGTTGTGGTTGTCGATCTGGGTTAAATTCGAATCGCTTTTTTTGCCTATGCGATCTAAAGTTCTTTGGTGAGTTATTTGGTTTTCTTGCCACATGGGATTTTAATATTTTTTTTGTTTTTTCCGTGGTTTACGTGTGGTTCTCTGATGTGTTTTGATTTTTGACTTCAGGAAGAGAGGATACGATCAAACGTTTACTGGTGAGTTTTCTATTTTTCTGATTGTGTGCGATTTAATTTTTTTTTTTCAAGCTTTGGGTGTACTTTTCTAATCTGCTTTGATTATTAGTTGCAGCAGAAGTTGTTACTCGAATTTTCCAGTTTTTCTCTGCGGCTTTCCAAACTCTTTATCATCAAGGTATATAATTTTTTTTCTTTTTCATGAATCTTTGACTGAAGGTAAGCGAATTTGGTATTTTGGATTATATTAGAGTTGAAATAGGTTTGATTTCAATAACTTTTGGGATTATTGAATTTGTATTCTCTGTTTGGTTTTCTGGTTATTGAGTTTGGATAGGAATTTGAATTTGATTCACAAATTTCTGATAAACCCCAACAAGAAATTTAGGACTGTGTATTAGGGTTTTTTTCTTCTGTGTTTTGGGATTGTCATACTCTGTGTTTTGGAATGGCCATGAACATTATCCGGGAAAAGTCATGCAATCAGCATTTCACATTTAAAATTTACATTTTCTTTGCCCTCTCTAATGCAAATATATTTATGCTAATTCATTGGTTTTTTATTTTTTCAAATTTGCAGTATTATTTTGAGGGACGAATATGATTTGGTCAAGTTCATCAAGCTGGTGCAACAAGCAAGCCTATTTGTTAATCTCCAGATTGGCCCTTATGTTTGCGCTGAATGGAACTTCGGGTAATTATTTTTGTTAAGAATATTTTTTGAATATTTTTTTTTATCTTACGTAAATATGGTTATATTCATTACTCTGTTTTTTGTTCTGTTTCTGAAACAGGGGATTCCCAGTTTGGCTGAAATATGTCTCCGGAATTGTTTTTCGAAGGACAATGAGCCTTTCAAGGTAGGATATTATAAATCTTCCGTTTACTCCAATGCAATTTAATTTTTTTAATAAATAATTTTGAAGCTAAATTTAATTTCTAATTATTTGTTATGATGAAGGCAGAGAAGCTGTTTCAAACTCAAGGAGGTCCTATAATTCTTTCTCAGGTTAGAAAACTGGTCAAGTTTTTAAGTTTTTCTATGAAATATTGTTAGAATCGCTTTTCGTTGATAGAAAAAGCTTTTAGCTATTTGTTACTAACTTTTTCCTTCTTCGTTCAATCATGTAGAAAGATGATTATAATTTAGTTGCTCCAAAGATAAAACATGGATTTGTTTATGAGATTTCACATTTCTATACGGGCAAAGTAAAACATCACACAAAATTGTCCTACTAGCCGCTCATTTATTCTTCAATAGCAAAGCAGAACAATTTCCAAGGAGTTGTCAGATTTTCATCAACAGATTCTATGATCTCAGTTTTATTTTCTCGATTCCCAACTATTGTCTCTCATAGATAAGAACAACATTCTCACAGGTAATAATTTACATATCCCTGACAAAGACCCATTTATTGACAACATGGGCTTATCAACATTTTTTAAACATTTTAAAGAAATCTTACAAAGCTAATTGTCAAATTGCAAGATATTTTGAAATATGCTACTGTAGTACAACCTTTGGGGAAAAAAAATGGTTGCCAATGAAAGATTTGAGACCAAAAGTTAAATTTGTATTGAAAATATGAGGTACAAAGTATAATAAAGCATTTATAAAAGGATGATTACCCTTTTTTACATTTTTTAAGGTTTATAATTCTTTTCCTACATCTATGCATTTGTCTCTCTCAGTTCACAATTTAGCAGAATGAGAGTATATTTCTGTTTACAATAAGATGTGAATTCTAACCTTTATTCATGCGTGCATGCTAAGAATTATGGTAGAAGAGTTTATTGTGGTTAGCTTAGAGGAAAATGTGAGGTTAGCAATTTGAAGAGTCTACTTTCTCCTCATATGTTTGCTTTAACATGTGTCAGTTGTAATTATTATTTTTCTCTTCATGGCATACTTAAAATTTGTAGATCAGCATATATTTGTTTTTGACATTTCTTATTAAATGTATTTGAAGACTGACTGAAGAAAGTATCCAATTTTTTAACAATTAAAAAAAATCACCTCAATAATTACAGTTTTATTCCAATTTGTAAGCCGGGGGAAAAAAACTCGAAGTTTCAATGAAGAGAGTCGGAAGTTCTGAATAGTATGTTTGTGTAAATAGGATTGTAAATATGGATGTACATATATATATAAATCGAGATGTACACATTGTTGTTAATATGTCTAAACAGAATTGTAAACCCGCATAACAAATTGGAATAAAACACACAAATGAAAGCAACTTATATGAAATAAGACTGCCACTGCATCAGTTCCCTACAATCCACAACCAAAATTTTGGATAAATTACACAAAATTACCTAAAATAGAGGACGAACCACAATTTCATATCTCATGTTTTAAGCATTGCAATATCATACCTCAACTTATAAATTCTTTGCAATGTCATACTTCCATTAAATTTTTTGTCAATTTAGATGTTAAATAATGACGTGGCAAGAATATGACCGAGTACTTCTCCAACAGAAATAAAAATTTTATTAATTATTAATTTTTTATGTGACAATTAAAGTTAATTATTAAAAAAACTCTTCTCCTCACTCACTCCTCTCTTTCTCACTCGTCTCCCTCATCACTCTCTTTGCTCTCACCCCCTCCTCCATCCCCCTTCTTCCTCCCCTCACTCCCTCCTCCATCCCTCTTCTTGCTCGTCCTCCTTAAACACTCAAATTTCCTGCGCCGATCCCCAGCCACATCTCCCTCGACCTCAACGCTCCCTTGACCGCCCACTGGCCGTCCCACTCCAGCCGCCTCGTCGAGTCACCTTCTGCGGGCGCAGATCTGCAAACTCCAGGTGGTGTTGCAGATTTGCATAGGCTCAGACTTGAAATTGAACCAGAAAAACGGTTCGCCTGGAGCCGGAGAGTGAGGAGATGGGTCAAATGGTTCACCTTTGCGGGAATCTCGCCGGATAAGTTGTTGTAGGACCAGATTGAGGCGGTAGAGACGGAAGAGAGAAGCTATGGAGGTAGGAAAGTGCCTGGAGAGTTCGTTGTAGGAGAGGAATAGGAGTTTGAGGGCGGTGAAGTTGGAGAGGTCCGGAATGGGGCTGGAGATGCGGTTACGCTTGATGCTCAGATGGAGGAGGGTTTGGATCTGGAGATAATTTCAGATGTTGCGTGTGTAAGGTTTGCGAAGATTTCAACTGAAAATTCACATGCAAAAGTCAATTTCGTTGATTTTTATTTTTTAATTGGAATCCAAATCCTGTTTCAAACTTCTTGCTTGAACTGGTTTTGTGAAGAAGCCGTTGATTTTTTCCAAGCTCTTGTTGCAGACAAAGTTTCTCAGAGCCGTGTTTTATGTTCAATGGTCAAAAGGACGGAAAAAATGCACGGAAGGAATAAATGTAGGGAATTGTTGAATATGGAGAGAGAAGATAGAAGACCCTGAACAGGGAAGGAAAAAAATGCAGGAAGGGAAAAACTGAGGAAGAGATGCCTCGGTTGGTGCGAAAAAATAACAAAAATTTGATGGAGATTCCTGGCCGCACGATTCGGTGTGAACGGCAGGGATTTATTGATCCCAACAGATCCTTGACGGAGGGATTTTTTTTTTATTTCTGTTGGAGAAGGAGTGGGCCCCCCACTCCTGCCACATCATCATTTAACATCTATATTGACAGAAAATTCAACGGAGATATAACATTACAACGAATTCATAAGTTGATGTATAACATTGCAATATTTAAAACATAAAGTATGAAATTGTGGGTCGACCTATAGTTTAGGTAGTTTTGTGTAATTTACCAAAAATTTCAGTTATGGATTGTTTTGGAATAATAAGGAGATTAACATTAGCTATGTGGAATGGCTTATCAGAAATTGTATAATAAGGATAATAGCCTCAAGCAATCTCAATAAAACTAGGACTTTATTATCTGATATGTTTATTAGAGTTTTCACGGTGATAAAGATAGTTTGATAAGGATTATATAATGAGAAGTGTCTTTATTGAACTCCATCGTTTATAGTATAAAGCTTGGGTCCATGCGCTCTCACAAATACACAAGCTTTCAGATACTCAAGCCCCATTGATTGAGCCTTGTTTCCAGTAGTGTAGAGTTGCAGAAGAACCCTTCTACAAAAGCAGTAATGTCTTAATCTGGTGAGTGGTTAATTTGGTACCGTGATTTAGTTTTCATAAGTTATATACTTACAAATAGAACATTCATATTACCCCCTAAAAGAAATAGAACTTTGAAGGGTGTCCCTTTTTTTTGGGGCTACCTACATGCATAGTAGAAAAACTACACTTTTTTTTTTGTCAAGTGATATATTTTGTTAGATTAGTCACTGATGGGATTTGAACCTGCATTGTCATGCAAAGGCTCAACTCATTTCTACTACTGTGGTAAATGACCACTTGCTAAAAAAAAAAACTACCCTATTTGGAGTCGAGATCCTCTCCAAATTTTTGTTTTCGAAGTTCAAGAACCTGGATATCCAGGTTGTTAAAGAGAGAGATCTGAACCCGTGGTTCGTGTGAGGGAGGTCAGTAGAATGGGCTAATGAGAACCGCATGATTTAAAATGAGTGATCTGGATCTTTGTGTTCGTCAGCTATGGACATAGAGATCCGGAGAAGGTCTCGCTTATTTGGTGCAGTTCATTTAACATGGAGCTTCATTGAATCACAATATTATGCAGGGGTAAAAAATGATTGAAAGGAGCCCTCCTAAATTGGCTTTTTGCCACAGCCTAACAAGAAGCAGCAAAGCAAGAAACCCAAATAACCCCTCGCGCAGAAGAATCTCTCTGTGAGTGAGAGCCATTCTCTCTGAAAGTGAGAGCTTTTCTCTCTGTGAGTGAGAGCATCAACAAACCCTAGAATGTTCCTTTGCCGCCTATCCTAATTTCGATTAGGGTCGGTGGCAACCTTTTCTTCTTTCCCTCTGCATCTTTTTTCTTTCCTTTTTGTTTTTCCCCTGCTTTTGTTCCTGCGTATTCCATAACCTTTTCACCACTGATTATCACTAATCTCTCTATCCCCTCAGATCCATTCATCTAACTCTCAGATCCTTTCATCCATACACCCATCTACATGTCTTTCTTCCGATTTCCACCGTTTCCATCTCTATTCAGACCTATAATCAATTATTACTGCGAACTGTTGCGGTCACCAACTGAGAAGGTGTGTAGATTCGTAATGATAAGGCCTAATACTTGGGGGTTTTAACCCCGGAATGAGTGGTATTTTGTGATCTTATGGTCGATATGGGGGTAGTTGAGAGGGAACTTGGAACAATGTGTCAAATGGTTGCAAAACTGCCTGCAGCTCATCTACTTGTTGAGAACTAAAAGTATCATTCCCCTTTTCATTAGACTCCAGAGAATACAATAGAACTCCAATATTAGACTGAGAGCTCCTTATCACCTTGCTGCAGGGCCATTTCGTGAACTGTCAGCTGTGGTGGTGAACTGTGAGTCAATTTAAACTTCATTTTGCCCACTTGGAACTCCATTGTAAGTAACTGGAAATCCCAAAGCCCAGGACTCACAATAGACAACCATTGCACCCCTAAGACCAATTCACAACCCCCCAATGGAAGCGAAAATAAGTCAGTGTGACAATTATATCCGCCCACCTACAATGGTATGTGCCTACAACACCCTTGGCTCGTAATTTTCCCACCATCGGCAATCATTACCTCAAAAGGCTTGGTTGCTTGCAAAGACCACCCCAATGTCTTAAGAAGCCTAGAGTCAATGAAATTGTGCGTACTACCAGAATCCAAAAGTATGAGCACTGAGTGGTTATTCGCAGTGCCGCCCAAAACCTTCATAGTTTGTAAAGACTGTGTTCCTTGCACCCAATAAAATGCACATTCACTCAGTGCCAAGCCCTGGATTTCAGCCGGTACCTCCTCATCCAAATCTTCACATAAATCACCCTCATCACTCACATCCAACAAAAGTAGTTGTTTGTGGCCACATTTGTGCCCCTTCCCCCACTTTTCAGGACAAAACCAACATTCCCATTTATCCTTCTTGTGCTAAACCTCCTCGGGGGTAAGTTTTCGATATGGGAGCATAGGGGTTTTAGGCTTGGGAGGCAGTATGGGGAGTGGAGTAATTTTTGCGGACGGAAGGGTTCGAGGATTGAGCTCACGTAATTCAGATAGCGTAGAATCGACCTGAACAACAATGGATATGGCATCGTGGACAGTAGCAGGTCGTAACAACTTGACATCATAGATCAATTCACGTTTTAATCCACCAAGGAAACAACTCTTAAGGAGCACAGGGCCAACATCTCTAGCACGATTAGCAAGTCTACGAAATTCAGTGATATAGTCCTTGAGAGTACCTGTTTGGCGCAATTTGAAAAGAGCCTCTGTAAAGTTCACCAGTAAATTCGGAAGGCCCAAACTCCTTGCAAAGTTCACCAGTAAATTCCTCCCACGTAGGAGTAGTATGAAGGCAATCGCGCCATTTGAACCACTGCATTGCTTCATTGTCAAGGTAAAAAGAGGTTGTAAGGACTTTAGGAGGATCTGGAGTATTGTAACAAACAAAATACTGTTCCGCCTTATAGATCCAATTGAGAGAGTCGTCACCCTCTGAGAAACGTGGAAAATCGTTGATGCCATGGTAGTCGCTGTTGTCCCCCGCCAATGTCGAATTGATCACGCCGAGCCGGACGCGAAGTCTCCAAATCAGAATCTGCCACGATTGGAGCGGGATTGGAAGATCCAGCCCCTCCCTGAAAGGACTGCTCACAACGAAATTGCTCGAAGGAGAAGACTGATGAAAAAAATGTAGCCATAAAATATTGATTTTGACAATTTTGATTCTGAGATTGCCTCTTTATATAATGTACAATTTTTGCAGTTGTCTTCAATGTTATTGTCATTGGCTCGGGTGCTCAAAAGATCTATAAAATGTCGTTTTGCCAATAATGTGGGTATTGAGTTGAATATCATAAAAGTGAACATCTGTAACTATAGATCTGCAAATGTTTGGTAGATAGTGTAATTTGGGAATTTGTTACCAAAACATTGATGGATAACATGTAT